CTATATCTGATATTACAGACTTAAGCGTTAGCCTTGAAGAGAAAGCGGATGAGGAATATGTGGCTAGTGTGTTAGTGAAGAAGGCGGATAAGGAATATGTGGATGAAAAAGATAAAGAAATTATAGAAAGGGCTGACTGGTACCATGAACGGACATCAAAGATTTTAAAATCTAAAGCTAATACAGGATGGGTTTCAGGATGTTTAGACCTTAAAGCAGATAAAACTTATGTTAACGATGAGTTAGATAAAAAGGCTGACAAGAACCATACACATAACTCCTTCTCAACTGTTGCTATAGAAAGTATTGAAGGAACGGTTGAAGAAACTGGGGATGTATTATATTGTAAACCTCCTAACTTTCCACAAGGTTTAACATCGGATGACGACATAACGACGATGAGAAACATTAGATGTAAAGATGTTTATGTCATGAAGGATGAAAATAATATTAAATTCACTGCTCAAGATTTATATGACAAGAAAGCAGACAAAACAGAGCTTCAAACATTAAAGACAGAAATACTTCAAACATTATATCCTATAGGCTCTATTTATACGTCAATGAACTCAACAAATCCAGAAACAGTTCTGGGTTTTGGAACTTGGACTCAAATAGTCGACAGGTTTTTGTATTGTGCAAACTCTTCAAAGGAAACAGGTGGAAGTAAAACGATTTCAGGTGAAAATTTACCTGCACACAGTCACTACATAGATTTAAGTACATCTCAAGCAGGTTGGCATAAGCATAAATTTTGGGATTGGTCAGCAATGAAAAAAGGTAAAGGATATGATGTTAAAGACGACGTTCAGTTTGCTATAAATTGTTTCTGGGGTAACACTCAGGAGATGGAAACCATACACATCGCGTTTCAGGATATACACAAACAACGGGACAAAGTAAAGAATACATGCCACCTTACATGACAGTTTACGCATGGTATAGAAATGCTTAGTCGTCATTTTCAACTTCTTTAGCATATTCGTCAGGAGTTGTCTTATATTTGTTAGGAACTGTCTTTGAAAGTATACCACTTGAACTTTGACAAGTTTGAAACGAGGTCTGACAATAGTAGTTTTATCTTCTGCTTGCAGTGTGTACATTTTGCCATGTTTGCCTAAAACTTCATAATATTCTCTTGTATACTTTCTTCTATTTTTACGAACACGAATGTGAGTACCTGTCGGGTTCCCATTGTTGTCATAGTCAATAGTATTTTCATATGGGTCGCGTTTTAGGTATTTCTATTTTTACTTTGTCACCTTTCTGAAGTTTGAAGCCCGGCATTCTTTCTTGTTTGTCTCTTTTGACTAAATTATTAAATATATAGTCTTTCTCTAAGTCAGGGTTGTTTTTCATTTCTTCGGGGAGTGGTTTCCCAAACCTTTTTGTTTACGGTTATTGTAAATATTTAAAACTTGTCTCATCTTTGCCATGGAGAAGTGTCTATACTTGTCGTCATATGACATTTCATTTGCTTCACCACCTTGTGGTTGGTTTGTCTCTTAACATTTTTATACATCCGTCAATGACACCAAGAGCAGAATGGTTTTGGTCGACAATGAAATTTGGTTTACATTTTTTGAACGCAGATAGTTTTTTTCCATCATCTGATTTGAAAGAACTTTCACAGTCAGATGTCAGTTTTGTTGGATGGTATTTGTCACGAATATTGTCAAAGCTGCTAAGATATCTAAAATAGCTTTGGACTGTAATGGTATGGCTTCACAGTATCTTGTGTTTTGACCGACAAATATTAGCCAGTATGGTGGTCCATCTGTTCTAACTCTCGGAATGTTTTCCAAGATATCCATAAACCAAGCATTTGGTGTTGAACTAAAGATTTTTTATCATGAGTGCTTTCTTTGTTGCCTTAGAAACATAGGGGTCCTTGTTTGGATTCGTCATTTTTTAACCCATAAGAAATGGGTTTATTTGGCGCATTAGCAGGAGTTGCATCCAGATTTTTGCCCGCAGTTGGAACAATAGCCAGAGGTGCATTTGGAATTGGAAGGAAGATTTTGAGTACATTAGGTATACTTAAAGAGAAAGCACAACCTATTATACAAACTGTACAGAAAGGTTGGGATGTAGCACGAGATGCAGCAAATCTTATTCCAAATCCTGAAACAAGAGGAAAAGTTCAAGGATGGATGGACAATGTAGGAAGACAAGCAGGAAACTATATAACAAAGCAAATGACTACTATAACCAAGCAGGACACTATATGGACCAAGGTGAAAGTTCTTTAACAGAGGATATAACCATGCACAACATGGGTAAACAATAACCAACCTCAACCGCCTCAAACGTGGGGAATGTAAAATTTTTTACTGAGATGAAATGAACAATACAGCATTGAGACAAATGGGTTCAAGATGGATTTGTCGACTTCCAGCAGTTACACCACGTGTTTGTCAAGTTCTTCCTATACCTCAGGAAGTTTTAGACCGACTTAAAAAACCTAAACAACCAGTTGAAAACAAACCAAACTAAAATTTTTTACTGAGATGAAATGACCGAAGAAGTTGAAACGTAGATTTGACACCACAAACAAAAGTTCAGAACCATTGTCAAAACCTGTCAAAGAACTTACAGATGAAGAGAAAAATTCAATAATAGAAAGTGCCAGGTCTGGAAATGCAAACCCTAACTACAAAGTCACTTTTCATAGAAATGGAACGGCTAGTATCTCAAAAAAAGAAACAGACTCTCACAAATAAAATATTGAAGTCTGAAGGAGCTTTCGAGACAACAGATGGAAAAGTTTACTTCACTGACCAACAGTTCATTATAGAACATCTCATTGACTTAGAGTCGAAATTTCTAAACTTTACAACAAACACAAAAAGTTGAAAGGAAAACAAAAACAAATGGCATATGATATTATGAAGATGTTGACAACACAACTGTTCCTGCAAGTGAAGTAAAGTCAGAGGAACCGAAAAGTGACGAAAAACCGATAGAAGAAGAAAAACCAAAAACTGAAGATAAACCAAAACCAAAGTTTAGTTTGGAAACTAAACCAAGTCAACCTTCATTAGCTGGTATGGGTTGGCGTCAAAGACTTATGGCAGCAGGCGGTTATGTAAAGTAAAGAAAAAAACATTTTTTTATTTTTATTTGAAATGTACGCTGAGTTTGTTAGTGAACCTCAAGTTGAAGGAAACTTGTTTGTTAGATGAGAAATATGAAATGTCATACCATTTTAAAACAATATATTTTTACATATATTAAATGCTTCAGGTTGAAAAACAAAGAACAAAAGTAGCAGATACAAAACCATTAGACTATATCTTTACAAATGCTGGTAGGACTATTTCAGATGAAGAAATTTCATCCCGAGCATACAGGTTTGACTATCCAATTCGTTGGCTTCAAAGTCCTTCAGATGCAAAGGCAATAGGATTTAGAAGAGTTTTGTTTTCAAATAGAACTAACGCATTTATGTTCGCAGTATATTTTCATGGGCAGTATGAAGGTTCTGATGGTCTAATAGACAAATTTGACGAAATGAGAATCTTTACAGTTCGTTCAGACGAAAGTCTTGAGAAAACTCTAAATGACTTTCAAACTCAAATGAACAAATATTATTGGGAATTTCAAGAAAAATACCACTCTTTACTAAATGGAACATACTATCTGAAACTAGAATATGACAAGATGAACTCCACCGTTTCATTTCAAAAGATTGAAATTAACCCTCCAAGAGATACAGAGTTTTTATTTTGGGAAGTAGACAAACGTTCTTGGGCACAATTTCTTCGGTTACTAAACCAGAACGAACCATTACCACCAGATGGTCCATTTCAATTTATACTTCCACCAGCAGATTTGACAGTTTATAGAAACGTGTTTGACCCTCAAAATGTTATGTGTCATGCAAGTTTCAGTTCAAGCAACAATAGTTTTCTATGTATTGGTAAGGACTTTTATGACTTTGCTTCTAAATTCTACGAACCATCTAGTAACAGTTTCTCTGACTTTCAAGTTTGGTTCACAACAAATGGTGTGCAACATATTATTCCATTGTACTATGACTTTTATCTCGAATTGTCTTTCATATATAACTACGGAAAAGTGCTGAAAAAGTATTGAAAAATAATGTTTAGGGTAGAAGGTTAGATCTAACCTCTTTTCTAACCTCTTTTCTAACCTCTTGAATTTGTCATGAAAACAATTTATTTTTGACACTTTCACAAAAAACATAAAAAAGTGGAGTTAAAATGAGATGTTTACTGAACTGGTTGGATGTCGCCTTCTGAGGTTATGTAGAACGGCTGACCCGAGAAGTGGAACAGTGCTCTGAGAATTTGTATAATTCGTGGAATTGGACTCTCTCTGTTTGGAAGTAGTATCCAAGGACGTTTGTTTAGGAACTTGAGAAGAGTTTCTTTCTTTGCTTGCTTTATGTCGTCTACAGGAGTGTTTTCTGGTACCTCAATTGGAATTCCAGTCGAAATCTCGAGATTCAAGGCAGCCCTTCCAGAAATAGTGGTAAACTTGACCTTGGGCTTCATGACCTTGCGCAAGTAGTCTTTAACAAGCTCGTTAATTTCAATTAGGTAAATTGCCTCGTCGGTAGGTTCGACCTCGACCATTGCTACTGTCAGTAAAAGTACTGCTACTGTCAGAAAAAGTACTGCTACTGTCAGAAAAAGTACTGCTACTGTCAGTAAAAGTACTGCTACGAGCAGTAAAAGTACTGCTACTGTCAGTAAAAGTACTGCTACGAGCAGTAAAAGTACTGCTACGAGCAGTAAAAAGGAAAATTTGAGAGGGTTTTCGACGATAAAGTACTGCTACTGTCAGAAAAAGTACTGCTACTGTCAGTAAAAGTACTGCTACTGTCAGAAAAAGTACTGCTACTGTCAGTAAAAGTACTGCTACTGTCAGAAAAAGTACTGCTACTGTCAGTAAAAGTACTGCTACTGTCAGTAGCAGTACTGCTAGGAGCAGAGATTTTTATCGTTGTGGTCCGACGGTTAAGCCACAAACGAATGTCCCACGTCCCACCAACTGAGTCCATTCCCAAACCAGAGGAACCTAAAGCACCACAACAGTCTCCTCAGCAACCTCAGTTCCAGCAAGTCCAATCTCAATCCAAATTACTACCAATTTCCACCTCAAGGTTACTACCAATTTCCACTACAAGGCTTCCCGAACTACCCTCCTCCTCAGCCTATGCCTTACTTCCCCAACCCTTGGATGTTCCAGCAATTCCAATCTCAATACAAATCGAAGAGAGACCAAGAGTTCGAAGAAGGTCTGAACCGTTTACGCAAAGATTATGCTACAGCTCCAATTGAGAGAAAGTTGTTCCCAGACCAAAAAATAATGTTTAGGGTAGAAGGTTAGATCTAACCTCTTTTTTCACCTGTTTTCTACCCTCATGAATTTGTCATGACTTCTTCGTAAACTAAACGTAAATGTTTTGTGAAGAATATAGCAACCGCCGGAATTCCGACGGTTGCTTTTTATACAAAATTCACGCAGGAAATTCTTGAGTTTTGGTTGAAAGAATACGGTGGAGCCAAAAGTGGCTCGACCTCAAAACAAGCATTTTATGAGCTTACAAAGGGTGTTATGAATGAATTCAGCAACATACATCCTGACCTCGTTCATTTTGTTGTTGAATTCAGTAAAAATAATGTTTAGGGTAGAAGGTTAGATCTAACCTCTTTTCTAACCTCATTTCTAACCTCTTGAATTTTCATGATTTCATCGTAAATGTTTTGTCAAGACTTCTTCGTAATGAGTGTAAAGGACCCAAAAATAATGTTTAGGGTAGAAGGTTAGATCTAACCTCATTTCTAACCTCATTTCTAACCTCTTGAATTTTCATGAATTTTCCGAAATAAAAAAATAAAGTTAGTTATTTGTACATACTCTTGTTACCTAACGAATGAGACGTAAACTGTTGTAGTATATACTGTATGTACTCGAATTCTTCATCATATAGCTTCATGGACTATAACTGTTTGTGTTCTCATTGTTGCGACATATCTCATCTTTACATTACAAAATAAAAAAATAAAAAAAAAACTTAACTTTATTTTGTCTATCTTTCCACAAAGAACCAAAAATACAACGTTTACATGTTATTTTTCAGCAAACTCGTCAAACAATTTTTAAGCTTTATCTATCTTCATCTACTTCAAACGTCTTACCTTTTATGAGCACCATACATTTTCTCAAACTTTCGAAGTAGTTCTGTTCTGCAGCTCTCATATCATTAACAAATCTACAACCTTGACTCTATTGACTTGTACTTCATATCTTAGAGTTATTATAGATTCTTCTATCTTAATCTTTTGTATTGAAGTCCTTGTTCTGAACATGTTAAATAAGCCTTCACTGCAACGTTCGTATCGAATAACCATATTTACTGAAGTAATATCCAAACAAACTGGGTCTAACCATAACAAACACTATTGGTTATAAGACTTTTTCTTCGAGAGATATCTGCAGTTCCATAGATCTTACCGATACTCATAAGCTCAGGGATTTCTTGTCAAAATTTCTGAGTTGAAGCATTTTCTAACCCAGTCCTTTGTTTCTTTTCAGATGGAGATATAATGTCTGACAAAGAATATTTGTTGTATTTCTTTGAGTATCTTTACGTTTAAATCACCTATTCTAACCAACTTTGTCATTGTCTATCTTTCTAACTGTTTCAAACTCAATGTTTGTCATTTTGTCTTTCTAACATACAAAATAAAAAAATAAACAAAATAAAACTAATTTTATTTTTAAAACCAGGAGCCAAATCTTTCACTTTCATGATTTTTGACTTTTTTTCTTACCGTGTCCTCACGATTTCAGTTTTAGCAACTACGGATTCCTCATCTTCTTCACGATTTCAAGAGTTTTAGGCTAGACCGGTAAAAGTCGGTCTAGAGAAATTTCACGATTTTCATGAGTTTTATGCAAGACCAGGTTTTTTCCCTACTCGCTGTTCTTCACGATTTTCATGAGTTTTAGGCGACCCCGGTAAAATCCGGACTCGCTGTTCTTCACGATTTTCATGAGTTTTAGGCTAGACCGGTAAAAGTCGGTCTAGAGAAATTTCACGATTTTTCATACGGAATCTCTCCCTCGGTTTTCCCGAGGGAAGCAATCTTATGCCATTTTATTCAGAAATTTGGTCATTTTTCAGCAAAAAATAATGTTTAGGTAGAAGGTTAGATCTAACCTTTTCACTTTTCACCCAGTTATTTTATAAGCGTTTTACATGGTAAACGTTATTTTTAAATTTTGTGAAACTCAACGGTTGACACATGCCCAAAAATTATTTTACTCAGAATTTTGTTGCTGAATTCAATAAAAAATAATGTTTAGGTAGAAGATAGATCTAACCTGTTTTCTAACCTCTTTTCTACACCTGATTTTTATAAGCGTTTCACATAACGTTGTACGAATGTATTCGTGAGACTCTTAAACAATTTCGTAGCTCTATTTCTTCTGTCAGTACATCGAAATTATTTAAACAATACCGAAAGTTTCTTTATACTTCTCTTTGACGTCAGACAGAAGGAAATCGTCAGCGTTGATAGTTTTGTTTTCAGAAATTCTAACATGTTCATTTTATCTTCTTCTGCTTTTCTGCTTTCTTCTTTAAGATCTGCATAGTCGTTTCGCATTACGTTTCTATCTCTTTGACGGAGTAGTTTATTTCCTCATTGTGCTTTTACATTAAAACATTCGGGTTCAATTTGCGTTATATTCTGAAACCTTACCTGCTAAAACAACTAAGGCGTCAATAGCTTCTTTAAATCTGAAAGCAGGTTGTTTTACTCTGTTCTTCCATACCTTACCTCTTCTATCTTTATCTCTTATTTCCCAAACACATTTTGAAGCTAATGAAAACAAAGTTGCTCGTATGTCTTAAAACTCCCGGATTTATATATGTCAGAGATGTTCTTATATACCATGTTCGCAATCTTTTCCAATAACCTTATGGTTGCAATGAAAACAAGAATTCATAATTACCTTACGTATGAACTTCTTTAAATTCTACTGAGTCAGTTGCTTTGACTTCAATTTCGTCGAATTCAGGAATGAGTAGTTTTGTCTGTTGGATTCAGGCAATTTGGGTAAATGGTCAATAATGTCCTGCTTTCATAAAGATACTGTTCATTGTTTCATCTTTCGCACTACAGTCTAAACTACCTTTAACAGTTCCTGCTTTATCTTCTTGGATTTCTGTTTCGAAAGTATATGAAAAAGGAATGAATTTATCATTCTCTACAACATAGATTGTTGGATTCATAACTAACGAGTTTGGTGAATGTTGTTTAATCTGTTTTGTGCCGATTGTTGAATATCATATCTTTTATACAAAAAAAAAAATAAAAAAAATAAAACTAACTTTATTTTTATTTCGGGAAAATTCATGAAAATTCAAGATGTGAAAAAAGAGGTGAGAGATAAACGTGAATCTACTCTTCACCTAAATTATATTTTTTTACTCATTACGCATTAACGCTCATATGACAAAACTTTGACGAAAATCTGTAAAATTCAATGAGGGAAAAAAAGTTAGAAAAAAAAGAGTTAGATCACCTTCTCACCTTAAACATTATTTTTTGTCTGAATTCCACAACAAAATGAACGAGGTCAGGATTTATTGCTGAATTCATTCATAACACCTTTGTAAGCTCATAAAATGCTTGTTTTGAGGTCGAGCCACTTTGGCTCCACCGTATTCTTTCAACCAAAAACTCAAGAATTTCCCGCTGAATTTGTATAAAAAGCAACCGTCGGAATTCCGGTTGCTATATTTCTTGACAAAACATTTACGTTTAGTTTACGAGAAATCATGACAAATTCATGAGGTGAGAAAAGAGTGAGAAAAAGGGTGAGATCTACCTCTTCACCTAACATTATATTTTTGGTCCGGAACAACTTTCTCTCAATTGATGGTAGCATAATCTTGCGTAAACGGTTCAGACCTTCTTCGAACTCTTGGTCTCTCTTCGATTTTATATGAATTGGAATGTCTGGAACATCCAGGTATGGGGAAGTAAGGCATAGGCTGAGGAGGAGGGTATAGTCGGGAAAGCCTTGTAGTAGGTTATAACCTTCAGTGAAATTGGTAGTTAATGAGATTATTGCTGGAACTGAGTTGCAGTTGGTGCTTTCGTTCCTCTGGCTTTGGAAGGCTCAGAGAGGACGTTGACATTCGTTGTTACCTGTCGGAAGGAAGTAACTTTTCCTTCGAAGCAGTATAAGCAAAACTTTTTCTGTCGAGAAGAACTTTTCTTCGAGGAAGAATTTTCTTCGAAGGAAGTACTTTTCTGTCGGAAGGAAGTAACTTTTTCGTAAGTTCGACCAAAAATTTCTCAATTTTCTAAAATTGATATGAGTTTACGGTACGGAAAACTGGAAAAATTTTCCTTCGGAAGAGAGAGTAATTTTTCTGTGGAAGGAAAAACTTTCTTTGAAGACAAATATTTTTCTGTCGATGGAAGGATCGAATGCCAGAAGGATTTGACGAGGCAATTTACCTAATTGAAATTAACGAGCGCTGTAAAAGACTACTTGCGCAAGGTCATGAAGCCCAATCAAGTTCACCACTATTTCTGGAAGGGCTGCCTGAATCTCGATTTCGACTGGAAATCCAATTGAGTACCAGAAAACACTCCTTTCGACGACATAAAGCAAGCAAAGAAGGAACTCTTTAAGTTCCTAAACAAACGTCCTTGGTATAAAATACCAAACAGGAAGAACCTTCCCACCATATAAATTGGCAATCAGATCTCTCACTTCATCTCGGGTCAACCTTCTACATAACCTCAGAAGCGAAATCCAACCAGTTCAGTAAACATCTCATTTTAACTCCACTTTTTTATGTTTTTTGTGAAAGTGTCAAAAATAAATTGTTTTCATGAAATTCAAGAGAGTAAAAAGAGGTTAGAAAAGAGGTTAGATCTAACCTTCTACCCTAAACATTATTTTTCAATACTTTTCAGCACTTTTCCGTAGTTATATATGAAAACAATTCGAGATAAAAGTCATAGTACAATGGAATAATTATGTTGCACACCATTGTTGTGTGAACCAAACTTGAAGTCAGAGAAACTGTTACTAGATGGTTCGTAGAATTTAGAAGCAAATCATAAAATCCTTACCAATACATAAAAACTATTGTTGCTTAACTGAAACTTGCATGACACATAACATTTGAGGT